CCACCATCCCCCCACTCAAGCCCTGCGCTGACAGTGAGCAATTCTTTTCATCTGTCTCGCTCGACATCGGCGTGTTATGATAGTGCCAAGGATCAATGCCTCTCCCAAACCAGTAGGCGCGGATGAAAAATGGTCGCCACCTGCTCAAAGCCGTGCTCGCTGACAACTTCATCTCCACATGGCTTCCACTTGAGATAATCAGATCCTTTGCAGGCCGGGTGAGGATGCGAACAGCGCCTTGTCATAAATTCGTGTTAAATGGGGAGTTGGGGGGTGGGCAAAACAAACAAAGATGCTACGGCAGATGGTGGCCAACTATCTGTGGGCTGTGGAGTCAATGAGCTGGAGAAGGAATCACCTTGTTCGCCTCCGGAAGAAGCGCTCTGTGCTTAGACTGGCCCCTGGCATCGAGAGCATTAATTATCACATGGTAATGGAGACTACTCTGCAAAGAGCAATAAACGTCAACACTTCAGCGGCTAGTAGTCACACAAAAACTATTACACCGCTACGGGGGAAGTAAAGTTGAGTTATTTTATGTATATCTGTAATTAAAAAGTCCCAGTAGTCTAAATGACACAAAGGTAATTATTTTTTCTATTGTCTGTTTTGTTCAGTTGTTACCATAGCTGATGACCAGTGTCCAGTAAACAATCTGTAGTACCATTTCTCATACAAACTGGCTTTAAGTCCTTATGGTTTGAGAGAGAGGTCAAAAAAATCTACTGAAATGAAATCCATTAGTTCCAATACACTAAACTGCCAAGTCAAGATCCAATAGGTATTTTTTGTTTAAGGAAAATCCCATGTTTCCTATTGTAGTCCTCTCAGGGCGTGTGAACAAGGTCATGTTTTGTCTTTCTATGAGGCAACACACTGAGAGTAGCCTCACCTATGGCAGAGTGGTTTTCAGGCTGCATCAAAACAGATGAAAAAGCTCTGCAAAGAGTTTTGAAATCTGCAGAAACAAAAATTGGCTGCCTGCTGCACTCCCTTATCATCCTGCCTCAGTACAGCTAAAACACTGAAGTTCCACCTCTACAGGCACTACAGGAATGCCAAGACCCACACCACCAGAGTTCTTTATCCTAGATCTAGGACATGGAAAGTGCATGTCTTTTGCTAAACTAATAAGCACTAAACCTTGAAGATAAACATAAATTTGAAAATAATATGTTTGAGCAGGAATGTCTCTGTATTGTCAGTTTTATTAATTGAGATTGTCTCAAAACTTAAAAACTGTCATTTCTAATTCCCTCATTCATTATCTCACCAGTGGGTACTGTCATTTACTGTTTGCTTAGTAGAGATGAGAAGAAATAATACACAAGACTGGGTCCACAAGACAAGACGAGAATTATCATCCTACCTCAGTACAGGTAAAAATTGTGAAGTTTTTAGCTTCTCCTCTACATGCCAACAGCCCCACACTGACAGACTTCTTTATCCTAGAGCTATGACATGGCATGTGCATGTCTTTTGTCTTAAACTAATTATTGTAAATAATTATTATATAGACTTTTTTTCAAGACATGCACTATTAGAATTTTGATAATAAATTTTGTGTGATTTTCCCCCAAAAGAGATTTTTCTTATAGTAGCACCTCTCCTCAACTCCACATGCTTATAAATACACACATCACTTTGACTTTGCGTTCTATGGGGATTCAGCGTGGGAGCCATCAGGCAGTTACACAGCTCCAAGTAATTATCAAAGGAACAGAACATCACCAGTTACAAGTTGTGCTCATCCGTTAGCCGTTCTGTCACAGCTTCTTTCTGCTTCACTTGGCTGAAGAAGTTCCAAACAAGTCCCTGATTGCAGAAGGGAACCACCTCATCTCTCACTTCAAACGTAAGAACCTTTAATCAGCGCATCATTTCCAGCAGACTGCCCCTTTGCGTTTGGAGTTCACATGTGTTCCTGCTCCTACTCCCAGTGGAGCTCTATACGCCACATTTATTCAGACCAAAACACAGCAATTCCCCAGTGCTGTCACCTCCTCTGTCCTCCTCTGTCCGCTCCCCTCCTCTCAGCTGTCAGCCAACTGCACTGCTACAACAGACACATGCAGCCAAGGAATTCTAATTATTGGCCTATGGTTAGCACTTGGAAATATTGCATTGTTAGAGTGAGTAGCCATGTGTTAATGTATGTAAAGACCCAGAAGACCACCTGATCACCGTTAGATTCAAAGGTAGTTTTGTAAAATATTTAAACTAGGGATATATATACACATGGCTGTAATCAATCTTTACATAATCAGATGATTTTCAGAGTGATTTTCTGCTGTACTTGCCTTATACCAGGGGTCTCCAACCTTTTTCTCCTTCTGTGAGCTACTTTTTATAAAACGAAAATCCCAGAGAGCTTCTCATTTTTGGGGTCACCAGAAATTTTGTAAATATAAGCAAAACAGTGAGCCAAAGATGAGGTAGAGTTAGATGTCTATGAAACATAACCAATTATCCAATTATAAGTGCACAAAATTAGGCATTAAAAATAAACATTTACAAAGGAAATAGGAATTTAATCAATCAAATCTGAGTTATTCAGCCCAATATATATAATTCAGAAATCCCTTGGCGAGCTACTTGGAAGGAGGTGGAGAGCAACTGGTAGCTCCAGAGCTGCAGGTTGGAGACTCCTGACTTATACAGTCAGTGATTCAAAGTTATTCCTCACAAACCATAACACTGTTCAAAAATGCTCAGAGTGAAAAAATGTACAAAAATGTAATTAGACCAATTTAAAAATATAGTATAAAATATGTGTCTGGTACTCTCAATCACTGCGTTCCCACTGCTTTTTCATTGTCCAGTGATGCTATTTCAATACGCAGTTTAAAAAAATATGTATCAAGCCCTGAGCCAAATAACTACCATAGGCTCTCTCTCACTCCTACCACTGTTTTTCATGTACTGTTTGATTTACCATCTTGTAAAAGGCACACTTGTTTATAGGCCTACTCCAGACTTCATCATAAACATAACAACAAGAGAATGTGTGATGTTGCGCCCCTCAGGACAAACTGTCTTTGCTCTTAGTGCTTGGTTCCGCATGCTAAGTGTAAGGACGCTTTGTGAGTTAGCGGCATACATTATAATTACTTATGAGGCTTCGTATGGCAAAACACAGTGGTGATGTAACCTGTCTGGAGGAGGATATGGCAAAAACAAAACATGTTCATCTGTGATACTGCACGCCAATAGAAGAATATGACAGTTACATATTACAGGACACATATTTTGCTTGTGTCATCTTGTTGGTGAGAATTTGTGAGTATTCTAAGCATGGCTATTTTAAAAGCTGGTGTTGTGTGACTGAATTTTAATGTACCCTTACGCTTTACGCTTTTTTTGTTAAACCATGTGCATAAGAAGTGACTAATGTTGTGTTCACGTTTTGACGTAATAAAATTCCACTCCTGCACGGTACATGTGAGACCAGTTATATGATTATAAGCTGTAAAACTCAAGATGCTTGCATGTTGACAATTATTATTCCAAGTTTTAGGTTGTACTTAGCAAAAAATAATTAGCACATGTGAAATGTTTTGTAATAAATCTTCAAACAAACTCTTGTTAATAGAACATTACATTAGCAGCTCTGATTTTAACATGCAGATGAGGTGAGAACTTATAATTGAAGTATAATAGTTTCATAAATCTTCCACAACTATTGCAGAGCAGCAAAAGTGAGTTAATGTATGAGTACTTTTAATATGTGTTAAAGTAAAGTTTGAAAGTCAAAGTAAAATAAAAGAACACTTAAGATCTTTATACAAAGTAAAATCTGCTCATCAGAAGCAATAAACCACAAATAAATTAGATAAACAAACAATTGAAAATAATTAGTTTGAGCAGGAAAGTCTCTGTATTGTCAATCTTATTAACAGGGAGAGTCTCAGAACTTAAGAGCTGTCATTGCTAAATTAGAGCCCTGCACTCGACAACCTGACTGAAAATACTGCAGTGTGGTGTAGTACCGCAAAACTAAATATGAGTGTAAAGTAAAATATACAAATGATTAATGTATGTCTATCATACATCATTTGTGCTGGATATTTTATTTGGCATTTATAAAAACATTTAAGTAGCCTAAATTTGCAAATGCGGTCTAATCTGGCACACATTTTAGACAATTCCTTTCTGCTTCTATGTGTTTGATAGAGTTTAAGAAAGTGAAGTTCTCAATCTTGCGGGATTTGCAGGCAGGAGCGGGACAAAGTATCGCTGATGTGGGCAGGAGAGGGACTGAAAATTACAATTCTCTGCGAGAGCGGGCAGAAGTGGGACTGCACAATGCGGGTGCGGGCAGGAGATCTGTATTCTAAATCCCTCATTCTTTATCTCACCACCAGTACTGTCATTTACTAGGGATTATTTCATTATTTGGGATGGGATGAGATACTACACAAGATTGGGTCCACAAGGACAAGATGAGAATATGACATAATACATAATACATTGATTTTCCAGTTCAGTTAAAAATTTTGGCCACTTACTTTCTATTTGTTTTACTTTCTATTTTTGCTGTAATTGTAGCATTTCTTTTTGGAACTACAGCTTCTCAAGAGGTATAACTCAGCAAAGTTAACCGCTTTTTTGTTTTAAGAAAAAGTAAATTAACAGAAAAAAAAAAATTCAGTCCAATCTTGTAGCAATTTTACCGCCCGAGTTCCTGTGTTATGAGATCTTGTCCCAACCGTATTATTTAGAGTTGTCCACAGCGTGCATGCAAAATGCTGAGGAAAAACTAATTATCTCTGGAACCAAACAGTGTCTGATCTTAAAGCCACCTTGGTGTGGGGTACACATTACGCCACTGGGTTTTTAATTTATATGGGTGTAAGTTTAATATGGTATGTATGGATATGCGCTAATCCTTTTGTTATTAAAAAAGCAGTAATTTCTAAACTTACTATAATTCACTGGTGCAAGAAATACTGTACATGTGTTTTTGTACGCTCAAATATATAAGACATAATCCTTCTTACCTTCAAAAGCAGTTTGCAGATCTCATATTTGCCCTTGGCTGCAGCCTCGTGTAGTGGGGTGAACTTCCACAGATCCGCCACGTTTACCGAGGCTCCATGTCTGACCAGCAGCTCTGCCACCTCGTAGTGTCCGTACGAACAGGCGTTATGGAGGGGAACCAGCCCACTGTCGATACACAAGAGGTTTATGTTATAGGTTTGTCACTGTAATTTAAAAGGAGTTTAAGTGCATATGATAGGTTTTCATGTTTTTCAAATTATTACTTGGTTTGGTGAGATATATTTTACATACTTTTACATCAGTTAAGTGGCAGTTTGAGAGAAAAAAGTTGAAAGTAGCACTGAGTTCTATAATATAATACCCCTATCTATATCAGTGACAGAAAATTCCATCCAAAATGCAGGGAATTTTACTGTCAGATTCAACATTGTTTATTGGTCCAATCTTAGCATAACTATTGTGCAATTTAGACACATTTTACCTCTTGTTAACATTATGGTTGCTTGGTAATAGAATTACCTCTACGTATGTCATATCTGGCGCTCACGTCCAACCAGGAAATCAATTTATTAACTTCACCAACATTTTTCAAATAGAAAAATCTACACAGGATTTTTAGTAAAATCTGAAAAGTATATAATGAAAAGAGTACTCTAGTTCTCCATACCCTTTGTCCTTGGCGTGGACATCGGCCCCATGGTGTAGGAGATACTCCACCACTGAAACACGGTTGTAGCCGGCAGCAAAGTGAAGAGGCGTAGAGTGACGACCTTCCAAATCTCGACAATTCACATTCTGGGCTGTGCAGAGTGACTGTGTTGAAAACAAAAGATGTGCTTTAGACATCAAAACACAAAAAATTAGAACATGTCGTCAATAAGCAATCAAAAAGGTCCAATGCTCTATTCAGGCAAAATAACCAAATGGTCATTGTTACATAATTTTGGGTGAATCATCAAGCAGTGGAGAACAGTTTGTGGCTAAATATTATTAAAAACATTCTGGTTTGTAATAGCTGTACAACAACATAGCGTGTTGTCAATGCATACAAAGTTTATCTGAACTGAAAACCAAAATTGGGATTACAACAAGACAAGAAATAAATTAAAGCAAAAGACATGCTAAATAGGCCCAAATACTTATGTCTGTACACATACATAAGGTTCAGATTCCTGTCATATGGAACATTTTGAGGAGATATAATATTATGTTTTAAATTGTTAATTAGGAAATGGAAACAGTCCAACTTTTTCATCATTCTGAAACCCTGGGATATATGCTTGTTAACAATTTAAATAAAAAATTAGAAACTACCAAGTTCCAACTATCTGCTATCTCTGGCTAAATTGATGAATTATAAAGTAAGTAAATCTCCCAAAAACACATATTTTGACAACCACCACATGCCGTGTCCATCACTGAGGCTGCAGTTATTCATTAAAATAACAGATGTTTCACACAAATTAGTTATTGGTTTGTACGATCCATTAAGCAAAGCCTTATGGTGCTGGAGAGAACTTAACATAACTGAAAGTGACCAACAATTTAATGCTTCAGATAGTCATAGCCATGTATGAAACCAGTAATACCTTTGCTTCCAGTAGGCTAAAGTTGGTGCATGCTCAAGACTGAATATGAAATTGAACATTAAAGAGAGGGTATTTTACTTCTATTGGGTATAATTGCTAACACATAACAGATTTACATCACAATGTTACATTTTATAGTTTTGAAAATGTTATAATCAACAAAAACAACATATTAACATGTTTTATACTTTTGTTTTCCAGGCTCCCCTTCCTTTGCTCTCCGCACCAAGCCCATTCCCCTTCACAGCACTACCACAATACAATCAGTGTGCATCCTGCTAATGAAACTACTGCACATCATATCAGGTTTGTGAAACTGTTGTGTTCTGTTTTGTATCATGCTTTCGCATATTCATGGAGAATTGTTGTGTGGGAGCATGAAATAGGCTTGTGTTCTGAGTATTGGACAGAAGCTTACAGCTAACCGTAAGGAAGGATCGCTAAATTACTCAAATATGCATGGACAACATAAAAAAACTCTTCAGGCATGTTTTTGATGAGGAAATAATGTTATAACATGTAGAAAAGATGGTAGAATAGTTCCAAAAAGTAAATTTTGCATAATAACACCTCTTTAATGTAATCAACCATTCGGCAAAAGTATAACCATGAAGTGATTTTTAAGTTCTGTTGTAACTTGTAATTTATTGAAATTAACTTCAACCTTCTTATGACCCTTTTTTGTCCATGCACCCAGAAAAATTGCTAAAAGGCAGAGAGAGGGACATACATAACAAAAAGATATTACTCTATTTTCATGGAGCCAGATCACAATTTTGATTTCATCACAGTTCATGAATGTGTTGTATTTTTTCCCCTATTGCCTTTAAGAAGTAAATAAGCAAAATAGCAGATTGACACAAAAATGAGATTTATATCACCATATTGCCATCCCTACAACAAATAGTCAGACCCACAATTCTGTTCCTAAGTAAACAAGCTTCCGAAAAGCAATAAAACACTATATTTACTCAATTTGACCTTTTATACTACGTCTGTCTTCATAGATAAATGGGTTAATTGATCACAATAAGACTAAATTTAAAGAGCCCATATTACACTATTTTCTGATCTATGTTATAATGTTGTTTTCTTATCACAAACATTCCTGGAGTTGTGTTTTGATTGATTCACACATGCTTAACACATAATCCCTGCATATTTAGGCTCTGTTCTTCTCTCAAACAGAAAACACTGTGTTCCACCTTGTGATGTCATGGGATAATACAGGAAGTACAAAACAGTGTTTTTAAACTCCATATACGTTCACTAGAATCATATGGAAATGTCCTGAAATGACTGAAAGTCTCTACAGAACAAAAGGTAAAAAGTAGTTGTTAACTTGAAAATTACCACTTAATGATATCACAAAATGGAACAGAGCATTTTAAGCTTTGGAGATGTAGACAGACTAATAATAAAGGATTACTCAAACATGTAAGATTGAAACAAGACGCAACACCAGGTATGTTTGTGTTGAGGTAACAATGGTAAATGGTAAATGGTCATATTTTTCTATAGCGCTTTTCCACCTTCAAGGCACTCAAAGCGCTTTACAACAAGGAACCACTCACCCATTCACACACACATTCATACACCAGTGTACACAGACACTGTGGGCAAGGTGGAGACACAACAGCAGCATTCATCTGTGGGAGCTGGAATCACACCAGCCAACCTGTGGGTCAGTGGATCTGACCGCTCAACCTGTGACGTTTATGTCGAGAGCTGGATTCGAACCACCAACCTTCAGATCAGTGGGCGAATGCTCTACCAACTGAGCTACTGCCACCCACAATGTGGCTAAAAGCTCACGAAAGTCAATTTTGTATAATATAAGACCTTTACCAGAACACTAAATATGCAATTTAACACTGTACCCTTAAATGCTTTAAAATACTGCCCACATTTCACACTCCAACAGCTCTCCTTGCCACACAACTGATCACATGCCAGAAATCTCTAGATGAAGACCCAAAGCTCTTACTATCTCTCTCTCCACGTCAATCAGTGCTCAGTCAGACAGTTAACCCCCGCCTTTGTACGAGTGACAAGTTAAAAACAGAATGTGAAAGACAGGAGCAGGCCTTACCAGAACTCATCTCATGTTCAAATACATTCCCATAAGCATCCCTCTCTGACAGAATCCTAATCTGGAAAAGCTCCCCGTGGATAAGCCCATTACAGTCCGTCTATAGTGATCAGCGCTATTCCATCATTAAAGTCAACCTTGTCTTTCTGGCCGTGACATCCATTAGGTGGTAGGATTGTCAAATGTATCAAAAAATCAGATACTAATCGATACTAGAACTAGAATCGAAACTAGATACTCATTTTAGCAAGTACTGATATAAAGAAAGTCACATTCATAGAACAGAAATGATAATTTCCTGAATAGCTTAAAATGATCTTGAGCTGTATCAGAACAAGTATAAGACCACATAGAACAGAGTAATATACACTAGGGGTGTAACAATATCCAAAATATCATGATATCATGTCATCAAAAGCCTCTCAAAAATACCGTGGGCCATCACAATATATCGAATCACAAGTTCCTTTGCTTAAATTCATTGTTATGGTGCAGCAATAGCTAAAAAACAGAGGGAACTACATAGACCATGACCCTTTGCTCCATTTCGGTGCAAACCATGTGAAGAAACAGCAGTTCTAAGCACTTCTAAATCTTAGTTCTTTGAATTAAGTCTTGTCAAGGCATTTTAAGGGGAAAAAGAAGCATATTCACAATTTTGTTATCCTCCACAAAATATCACAATAAATATTGTACCGTGAGATGTATATTGTGAAAATATCGTACCGTGAGATTTGGATTTCGTTACATCCCTAGTATACACCCATGGACCACTATGGAACCTTCCTGGATTCATAAAGAATTACACATATATAAGACTGCACAGTAATATGAAAGTACCATGAAACGGTACGTTGGTATGTTGAAAATCACATTCTATTGTCTAAAGAAAGGGTGCTTTAAATTGGACTTATGGTATCAGAATCAGTATTGAGTATCTAGTCTATTCCTTATCATCATAATTTGAGATTGACCAATATGGGGACTTTCATGGCTGATGCTGATTGTTTAGAATCCAAAGAAAGAGATGGCCGCTAAGATCTGCTAATATTTCTGCGGCTGGTTTTGAACATTTTTCCCCAAATTAGGTCATTTAAATTTACTACAAACTCATCCACAATCTTTTTTTTTTTTTTTTTACCAAAAACCTTTAAGAGAATTATGTGTTCACATTTTGTGCAGCTATCTCATTACATTAAAGTGTTAAAATACCTTTGTGTGTAATCTTTATGCAGCAAGTTGACCAAAACAAACAAACAAACAAAAAAACGGCCTGTGCTTGAGCCAAATGATATATCGGAATATTTTAAATGTTTAAATTGAAAGTCATGACAGCAGTAGTACGTGGTTCAGGACTGTATAATAGTAGTGTAAGCAGCGCCTACTACTTACTAGAGTGAGTGGGCTATCAGAAAAAAAAAAAAAAAATTCTGCTGGTTTTCTTTCTCTATTATAAGGATCTTACAAACAGGAATGAGGTGGTGGGTGTGCGGCCTTTGATGAGAATGAGTTCCAACAAAAATCAATAAACAACGACAACAGAAGACACCAGGCGGATATAGTGGGTAAAGGAAACATGACATTTAGCTACAATAACGCAAGCAAGGTGTGTATTAGAGCAGGAGCCTAGCCGCAAAGGTCAAGACATTTTGCTGCGTTTTAGATCAAAATAAAGAAACCGTGTGGGCTGGGCTGGTGGTATACATGTTTGAACTCTATAAGGCACTAAGTACACTCCCCACGCATCATACTAGGATTGTCAAATTCAAAATAATAGTTGAAAATATTGATTGACACAACAACTAGTATTGAAACTAGAAACTCATTTGAACAGACTGAAAGAAAATCACATATACAGGACTAAGTTGGACATTGGCAAAAAACCTAGAACACTACAGAAATACAATTATTTTGTATGGAAAATGACATTGTATTTTCCAAAGTAAAGTGCATTTTTACAGTATTAAGGGATTATTCATAGTTGGAAACCGTGAAAAGCCACACTTTTTTCTTAAATTTAAAAAAGTTAGGTGCCATGCGTGATAAGCCTCAAATATTTCTTTTTAATAAAACCAGTGACTGAAATTTTGAGTTAGCACAGTGAATCACAGTGAAGTGTGAACTCTCAGAAGAAGCCGATAGAGTTGCATCTTAGAAGAAATATAAAGCTAGTAAGAGTAGATTAATTACTAATGTATCCACCTCAAGTTATACCTGGACAAGCATAAGCTAAATGTAAAATTGTAATAATTGGAAAACCATTAGATCAAACAGTACTATGTATACAGTGGAACTAAAGCCCAAACTGGATAATTGTGTTTTTGTTCATTCCTATACTGTTCTTAGTCATTTTTTCGTACTTTTTAGTGTATATGAAATTAATTTGCAGATTTATAGTCTAAAACTGTCCAAAAACTTTAAAGTCAATCACACCTTCAGATCTCCCGCTCCCTCCTCCTTCACTCTCCCCTTTGGTCCTCTAGGCATTGCCCAGTTACGCAGCACTACTTGCAATGTTGTTAAATTTGGGGGTTGAGTTTGAATGTTTAGTCCCACTTTAATGAACATAAAACTTTACTCTCACCTTGACAGTGTCCAGGTCTCCAGCTTTAGCAGCCTCCAGTAGTCTGTAGTCCACATCAGAGTTTCTCACCGGCACGTTTTCTGAACAAAGACACAGCAGAGTTTTAAAGCGCTTAAGTCTTTCATGTCATCATCCAGTAACACATAAGAGATTGCATAAGAAGGACAGTATAACCTTTACAGATCGCTCACAAACCTGCTGTACATACTTGTATATTCATTTCCTGTCAGAGCACTGTATGCATTTCATCCGTCAAACAGGCATGAATAATTGAACGTGTGATAAAAGTAGCTGTTCTGTACGGCTAACTGATACACAAAAACTATACCGTCTGTTTGTCTCCATGGTGAAAGACATCAATAATGACCTTTGGAGACAATTGGAGTTGGCCGGAGAGTAGCGCGCGGCTGCCTGGTAACACACAGAGGGGGGCTTACCATTGAGTATTTGCTGAACGGCTTCATTTCCCATCTGAGCAGCGGTGAAGCCCTGCAGCGACACCAGCGAGGCATCGGCTCCGTATCCTAGCAACAGCCGACAGGTCTGAAGGTGTCCAGCCAGAGCCGCACGGTGGAGAGCCGTCTGACCCAGTGTGTCCAGGGCATTTACCTGCAAATGGACCATATTGTTCTCATTACATTTCACTGTAATTTAATTAGAAGTACTATTGTCTTACCAATTTAGGATACTGTAATTAAAAATGTCCATATGTTTTTCAAGTAGTTTGGTGAAAGGAACTATTATGTAAGTTTCAAAATGCTCCATCTTGATTAAAGCTGTAATATGCATTCAAATCATTATGATGCTAGTGCAAAATCTGAGAAAGCAAAACTGGAACCTGATTCTGCTTTCTAACTGGATAATTGGCTTGAGAACCAAAACACAAAATGTAAACATGACAAACAACTTTAACACCATGCACTTTTTTTTGGAAAACTGTTGTCTGATTTAAATGTGAATGTTTCTTGTCTGGGGGGCATGGCATGGAAAAAAATTACAATTTTATATTTTGTTGACGATTAATCTGTTTACAACTACACATTTATTCAGTAGACTGCAAATTCACAAGCTCAAGCTGTTATCATTAATGTCTGCTCTTTTTGCTAAGCGCTTGTCAAAGAAAATGATATATTAGCTTTGATTACCACATTTATTCCATTCATTAAAAAGTACTCTCATTAAAAAGTGCAGATGCAAATAGGTCTTTGTTTTTGTGGTACATAAAGCAAAGTCACCATCTTTCTGCATCTGATGATTGCGTGTTGAACTTGTGTCCTTGGGCAAGACATTTCACAGTTACAACATCTTACCTTGGCCCCATGTTTCTGCAGCACCTCCATGATGTCATTGTGAGCCCGCTCCGCTGCCACATGCAGAGGTGTCATGAAGCTACAAAGAGGAAAAGACAGACAGAGGCAAGATTATGATTTCTTAAGTCTTTGCATTTGCCTTGACATCTTCAATATCTTAGTAAAATGTATGCATCTGTGAAAACTTTTACAACGCATTAAAAGTTTGAGTCCTTTTCAGTTCAGATGCTACACAATCATTTCTGGATAAAAGCACACTCACTCCTTATTCTTCTCGTTGACGTTGGCGCCCTTCCTTAGCAGCAGCTCTGTCACTTGCTTCCTCTTGGGGTGAGGTGATGCCACAGCACAGTGCTAGCACATAGCATACAGAACCATCATTACCGCTCTGCTCTCTGCACCCAAAAGTTGAGAAAAAAAACTTGGGTTCACCCTGTGCTACTTACCAGGGCTGTCTCGTGTGTGTGTGGATGTTTGAAGTTGATGATCTCCAGGGCTAGCGTCTTCTTAGCCTTGGCCATGTCAGCCTCCCTAGCGGCTTGGAGCAGCGAGTGGCCCTTGAATTCGTCTGAAAATATACACACAAAATGTCAGGATTTGGACTGGCTGGAGGGAAAGTGGCAAAGGAAAAAGTGAAAGAAGGATACAGGATGGACACTGCATATTTCCAATTAGAGATAGCAATTAAAGGCACACTAATAGAGAATTGTTTTTTAACAAAGCTTCATTGTTTTATGAAAAAATGATATATATTGTGGAGTAGCCAAAATTGTACCCAAGTAAGAGTAACGTTACTTCAAAATTATATTGCTCAAGTGAAAGTACAAAGTAGTGGTCCAAGAACTTACTCAGGTAAGACTAAATAAGGGCTTGGTGAAACTACTACTAAAGTTAGAGTAACTGTAAGAATAACTTCAAAAGACTGACACAAAAATTAGAAGAGTAATGTCTTATCCAAAGGAGCAGTGCACGAAACACAAATGTTCCAATCATTTAACATTGTCAAAATAAAGCTTTTGTTACTTGGAGACTCTCAAACAGAAGAGTAACCAAAACAATACTAATACAGTGTAAGATATATTACTCAAGTAGGAGAAAAAGTATGCTGTCCAAATACTGCTCTGAGAAGTAAAATTTTGTCAAAAGGTTAATCAAGTAAATGTAACAAAGTTTTACCCACCTGTGGATATGTCATAGTGACTCATTAAGGCTATGCTATTACAAATTATAAGTCATAACATGTCATTATTAGATTTTTTTTTTTGGTACCACTTCATAATAACTACACCTTAATTGATCTTAATAAAGCATGACCAAAATCTTAATTCATGAATTCAATGAACAAATGGGAATGATTCAGGCTCAATTCATTTTATTTCATTAAAGGGTTAGGAGTTAGGGGTGTTAATTTTGCCTTTACAAGCATTGCTAAGGATTTGTTCATGCTTTGTTAAGACTAAGAAGTGTAGTTATTGTAAAGTGGTACAGAATGTTATATATGAAATGTTTTGCTTTATATATCAGTTGACTGTGAATATGTACAATAAATACCTTTGTCTCAAAACTGAGAGTCTATTTATATCTACAGTATTAGTACTATAGAATCAAGTAGTGTACACGGACAATGTGAATTGAAAAATGTACAGAGTTTTGTCAATGCATATTTGGTTACTCATATCTCCGTGTTATTAGCTGCATTACTCTAAGCTCCAACACTAACACAATCTGCTACAGACAGCTTATCTGCCCAGTGCTGCATAAGATTTAGAGCAAACAAACATTGCATTTGGAACAATTACAGCAATACAATAATCCATACTTGGCGCTGTTATAATTGTACGTATGAATGCATTTAATTATGTTGCTCCCATTTTCTTACTCATAATTGCTTATTGAACTATACATATCAATAATTTAAAAAGTAAATCTGGATGGTTATTCACAGTCACTAAATACATTGCTTTAATAGTTTCTTAAGTAAACGGAAGCAACCATACATTACTTGTATCAATCTCAATAACTGGTTTATGGTCTGTGGTGAAGAGTTGTCTTAGCTGCATCTATGGGCTTACATAAGATTCAGTGTTTTATAGGAAAATTAGATATGTACAGAGGTGGGTAGAGTAGCCAAAAATTGTAAACTAAAAAAGTACTTGGGGAAACTACTACGCAACTAATAGTAAAAGCATGTTACTAATTACCATAGTGTACAGTATACAAGTACAATTTATCAAAAGGTTACTCAAGTAAATATAACTGAGCACTACCCACCTCTGGATTAGCTGCATTTTTTTCCTTTACCATTACTTGGACATTAAGGTACAGAATGAAATAGAAAGTTAAAACCACACTTTGAAACATTCACCACGAAGATAGATAGTATGTTTTGTGCCATAATATGTAATATTATAGCTAAAGGAACAACATTTCCACGGAAACAAGCAGCAAGACACCCTCCTTCAGACCAGATAAGAGTCAGGTTTGTGGAGGTGCAAGCCCGCTCTCACCAAAAATGCAAGAATGTAAGTGCAAAAACAAACGCAAATGCTCTTATTTTAGTGTCATTTTTGGCAAAGATGTTGCAAACTGTGGCTTTAAACAACTGTTGCAACTTGATTTTCATAAAACTATCTAAAAAAAAAAGTCAAGATCTCAATGCTCTAACCATAACTATATAATTTACATCCTGCTGAACATCATTTTATCAGCTCGATGACTTCAAAGATTTTTTCCATCTTTTCATTGCGAGCTAATAACATATGATGCAAGTCTGAGAGCTCAAGCGGAAACAAGTAATTATCCCTGGGGATTGAAAATTACAAACAACAAACTACTTTGGCTCATATTCATTTAAGTCAACATGAAAGATAGGAGCCTTTCACCACTTATGCACTTTCAATCTGAGAGAGAAAGCTTAAATTCTCAAGACATTTTCGTGAGGAGAAATACTAGAAGGTGAGTGTATTCGGCAAAAACTACTCTTGGGCCCTTAACTTGAGTTTCTTTGAATGAAACACTATAAATAAGGTAAAAGAGCTGGAGTGTGGCTTGTAGTGCACAGGCCAATGTTTGCAAAGAAAATTCTCAGAGAACACATACAAGCTGTGAGAGCAAATAGTTGTGCCACTATTTATGTCGGCATGGTTTCTAAGGGTGAAATTAAATACAGTTTGTTGTCTGCTTTTAAGCACAAATCATAGCAAAAACTACTATTCAAGCAGGAATAGATGCTATATCAAAGAGCTAGTCTGTGCCATTTATGTCCATTTGAAATATGCATATAAATGTATAATAACTCAAATAACTATAAGGTTTTTGGCTAGATTCCAACACAATGCTCATTAAAGCTCAGTATAGATATGCAGTTCTGTTTATCTTTTCAATTTGAATCTAGTTGTTGTGAATTGGTCTAGGTCTGGCCCAATTTTGCCATGATTACATTTTCAAAGGAATCAATTTCAATCAAACAATGATAATAAAAAAGGCTTTTCGACAATAGAATATAATTTTCAACCTTTTCAAGAAAATTTTTTTTTAGGTCTGATATACACTATCAGTCAAAGGTTTGAACACACTATCACAATTTGTTTTTTTCCCCTCATCTTTACTATTTTTACTACTACTACCTCAAAGTAGCAACTCTTTGCTTTATCAGAAAATATCCCAGAAAATTTTTTTGAGAATACTAGTAATAACTGAACAGATTTAGTCTTGATCTACAGTAAGTACATTTTTTTTCATATCTCTAAGTAAACAAATTAGTATCTTGCTTAAGTACAGCTTTTTTGTTTGGCAACCCTTCTGAATTATACTGCGTTCAGTGTAATGAATGTCAATGCTATATCCATCAGTTTGACAAACTGGACAATACCTGTGAAGTGAAAAAACAAAAAACCTACTTGGAAAGATTTACACCCACTGACTGTTAGAAAATCCACACATTGAGAAAACATGGCTGCAGACGTACACATAAGCCTCTCCTTGAGCTCGGGGGTGGGGGCCATGTCCACAGAGCTCTTGCTGTGACAGTTGAGTAGTGTGGGGTCAGCTCCATGGCTCAGCAGGAGAGAGCACACCTCCACTCGGTTTTTAGAGGCTGCTTCATGGAGAGGAGTGAACTGCCACAGGTCCATGGCATTTACACAGGCGCCATGCTGGAAAGAGAGGGGATTTTTTTTTTAGATAAATACGGAGAATTACATTTGCCTCACACAGAATTAGGAGCCGGAAGATAAAAGTACGCTTCAAATAATAACATAATAATGATGGCTGTTGGGTAGAAAATTATGTTATGGTTAAAGAGGTCAAATTTTTGCGCTACAATCACTGTGAAAACATAAAAATTTTAGAATTATTCATGATTATTAACACCGTTATCAAACAGCAGGAAACTCAATTTGCTTTCATGCACATTGACAAACTTTCTGAATGATAACATACCAGCCACATAAAAAGCTCTTTACATCTACTTGAGCTTAACGGACATGTCAAGTGTATGGACATTTGGTTGGCCCCTGTTGGAAGCAATGAGCAACAGCAGAGATAAAAGGGAAACCTCCTTCATATTTGAACCAATATCTTGAGTAGGAGTACCAAGCTAGCCAACTAACCTTTTGTGTACCTTTCAGATACAAACTCATAGTACGGCCATGCAAGGTTCTATAATAAGAGCCATGGCATTCTTGGATGAGAGACAAACCACTATGTCAAAAGTAGGCAAATTATGACAAGTGTGTTTAAAAAGTTAAAAAATGTCTTCAGAAAATCGTGGAAAAAACCTCAGTTGAATTCAGTTGTATTCACGTGGGATCTGACTTGCTGCTCTCATCAGTATTCAAGAGCCACGTATTAGAACTCGAGCACAAGTATAATCATATTAATAATGAGACAATGCCACTAGGTCAGTACTGAGTGCGCACACAAGGAGGGATAAGGAGCTTAAGATTGCCAGCCCACTCAGATGACATTGTAAAATTATGGAAAGCCAGCTCCCCGTCATTAAATCATCCACAGACAGAGAGGGAGAGTTACCTTAAGCAGCAGCTCCGTGACTTCATAGTGCCCATAGGAACAGGCATTGTGTAGAGGCACCAGTCCACTGAAACAAAGTACAATATATTCCATCAGTATACAGTGCAAACAACCAATTACCCATTATATTCTTGTTTGGAAGGAGGCACTGAATAGATAATGCCATACTTGATTTTGATCTGTAGATGTCCTAACAGTATTTTGCATTCCCTTTGTTACCACTACATATTTCTTAAGTAGTTGTGGTTGTTGTTTTTTTATTGTTATGTTTGTCTTATGTGAGGATTGGATGCAATTTTTGACTTGGTCCATTGCTACAGATCTTTAAGCACATGTTTGTCAAATCTAGCAGTACCCGACTACTTTATCAGGCTAAATGTATACAGGAATTGTTGATAGTAAAATAAGTTATATTTTACCCATTAACTGATAAAGGTGTATAATAAGTAAAGGGCTAGAAGCCTTGTCACCATAGACATGTTATTGTTTTGCCTCAAATATTTCAGAGTGTGACATTTAACTTATAGATCTCCATTCAGACAAACGTGTGGCGTCACCAAGTCAGATGTGTGGAGAGGTGAACCCACTCAAAAGTAAGAATGCATGTTTTTCAAGGTTAGTGTGGAATTTTGCAGGCAAAGCAATAACATTTCAATAGAAAGAAGCTGGCAGCAGACCACCACCATAAAATGTCCATAGTGCACCTTAAGTGAAGGTCTAACTCTACGTCCCCTATGCCTTTCTTTTTACAGCACTGCAGAGAGCTAAACTCTTTCAATGATTCTAACCTCTGCAGCGCCAGCCTATTCACAGACCAATTTGAAGCTCTGCAAAGATGAGCGCCTCTGCTAATAACTGCTAGTGTGATATTTATGTGTACCAACCCCTTGTCCTTGGCGTGAACATCTGCTCCGTGCTGTAGCAGGAGCTGCACTATCCGCACTCGGTTGTATCCTGCAGCCAGGTGGAGAGGTGTTGACTAGAACAAGAAAAGAAAGGAACAAACTTTAAAATGTGAAAATGTGTCTACAAACACATGCAGCCAATCACAGTAATTGCAGTGGCACCACATGAAAAAGTGCTTTGCAAGATGCGAGGAGAGAATGAGAATTTCCCCACCACTGAATAAGTCTCCTGTTACAAAGCCTGTCTATATTTGCTATAATCCTGATGAAAAGCTTTAAAATGGCACTGAGATGGAATGGATTTGGCTCCGTGTGCAGTTTTCCCGTCTTTCAGAAGGGCTATCAATGACACCAAAAATGTGCAAGGAAATGTTGAGCTGCTGCGAACATGATGTTATGCAGTCAGCCCCAAGTTCTTGCAAAGGGAGAGGTAATGAAAAATCTGCCTCAGAGCCAGCCGAGGAAACCGGCTCGATGCATTAAAGATCACATTGTGAATAGGGCCAAGATTAAAGGTATGACATGTAGCAAGCAGATATACTAAATTATACAAAATTTCCATGTCATAGTAGAAGATGAGGAGTGAAGAGTGTTGGGGGTAAAGGAAGTTGCTTTAATACATGCAGTGTGGACAGAGACTCTGCCAGCTTTGATGTGACACGAGAGAAATGAATGTCTCACAGATTCGTTTAAGCTATGTGTGGGATAGCCAGTGGGTTTTGATGTAGTAGCGACACTTTCCAGTTCCAGGGATACTGAGAATCAAGTTAACTGAATGATAATTAAAAAACTGACATAAACTGAACGGTATGTAAGTTAGTTGTCCCTAGACAGTAGGTACTATCAAGCAAATAAAACAGTAAACCAGGACAAGGGGGTTTAGTGTTTACCTCACACTCTGCCTGAAGTCAGGCTAAAGATGATGCTACTGCTCCAGGCAAAAAGAGAGCACAAGAATGCTAAGTGCTGATAAGACAATGTAACAGACCCTTCCTAAATTAGCAGTAAAAATAAGGCAAAGAAATAACTGTAAAAGCATACTGTATAAAGGCAAGAGGCAACTACTTCAAAGCAAAACCTTTTAGAACAACTTTATCTAAATTGTGAACAGACAATGATGAATCATATACGGGAGCCATCAATTCAGCAGTACAGAAGAATCTGAACAGGGAACAATGGCCAAGTCTATTCCCAGTCTATTCATAAAAGCTTTGTCAAAGTACACCAAGGCCCTTGCAACAGCTTAACTGTTATACCCAGGAACATATCTCTCTTAAAATAATAAAAGACAATGGTGGTGAATATGCTTTTTTTTCAGTAGATAGATGTATCTAAATATAAATACAAATACATGTTGTAGATTAAAATACCAGCTACAGTGGCGCCATGGACTTTTCTCTTTTTTTCCTTTTCATTCCTCTATTTTGTAAATGTAAAAGTAAAAATGTCAGCCACAAGAAGGTTTATGGATTTTGTGCATAGAGCATAGAAAGAATGCCCCAACCATGACTTCAAGCAGTACTGTGTTTATTTTCCCATGTAACCTTCAAATTCTATATGGTTGCTCTAGACCATTTTACTGCTTGAATGTACGCAATTAAACCTGGACAACATGGCATTTTATAAGATCAGAAAGTCAACGCATCAACACAACACATGTGCAAGAGGCATACTGAGACATGGCAAACTTCAACCCTCACATTCAGCGTAATAATTTCATGCTCTTGTTCATTTTTTTTTTCCCCCAGATGCATTAGAGTGGATTTTGGAAGATGCCATTTAAGCCAATAGCACAATTTCTTTTTGCTCACTGAAGAAGCGAAAAATATGAAACATCCAAACTTTTACAATAATAACCCTAATTCTGCACCATTGAGCATGTCGCCTCTCATCTTAAGATATATTCCCAGTGACCACTCCTAATCTAATTTTCCTGCACTATAAGCAAATAAACAAGCTCATCTAAAACAATGGTGTGCTGTCATTTCAACTTGAATAATTAAGGTAGAATAAATAATGGCATTTAGAGTTCAACCTTAAGGCTAGAGCCAATTAAATTCAGCCTTTGACTAAAATAAAATTAGGATGCCAACAGTATTTATTTATTAGTTCAGTTAATGTGTCTAATTTGATTATGATATGGATTATGATTAGACTTTGCTCAGTCTACTTCATTAAAGTAGTAGTAGTTAAATTATTATATAGGATGTAAAAACTGCTATTTTCAGTATACAAATGTTGAGAATGAATTGGGAATTCCACAACCAGTTCTTGTGCAGTAAATGCATATGGTTTGGAGCGTGTCTTGTTTATGTTCATGAAATCAATCAACTGATTTTGATTTGTTTTTTGAAAAGAGAAGAAAAAAATAAATTCAAAAATTGAGTGTGATCAAAAATCGAGTATGATCAAAAACCGTGATCCGGTTTTCCCAAAAAATCTGACAACACCTAAACAACCAACCACTCCAAATATGGTCACAAACACCTATTTACTACTGGCTAGCTTCTGATGCGTTACAAACACTGATGAGACAGTGTGAGAGTGGTGGGCGGTATACATCTCCTATAATGGTGGCTGAGTGCAGACCGTTCTGTAGCAAGCTGAGGTGCTGAGGCAGAGCTGTGTGGACAGATGGGACACTTGTATATTTACAGCATGTGACAGCAGCGTTTGAGAGGAGCGGCCCATAGTACACACTTCGTCACCAGCCTCATTCCCCATGCAGTGTTTTTGCAACGCATCCTGTGCTTGTTGTGCATAAAAGTTTGGTAAGCAGCCCAATTGGAACGCTTAGCTTTTCTGTGTGTTTTGGTACATTAGGTTTTCATGTTACGCTTTAGAAATTCTTATAGCTCTGTATTTTTGTGTGTGTTAAAGTGTGATGGAAAAATACAGGTCTAACTATAAGAATTTCTAAATCATATGACTGTTGATTTTGAATGCCAGGTCAAGAGGTCTCACACTCATATCATATTCGATCTATAGAAAGCATCATCAGTCGCAAGTTGGTGGTTAAATTTCTGATCTAGTCAAAATCAGAAGAACACAATGATACAGATAAGATGGGTTATATTTCAGATAGGGGTGTGAAAAAATATCAAAATCAATTTATACCGTGATACTAAATATTGTGATACAATATCGTTATTGTGGGCTGCTGTATCAATATATTGCCTAGAATAGTTTTTGAAATAATAAGAAATAAAGAAATAATTCAGCTAAAATGTATTTGGTTCGTAAAAAACAGCAATATATCATGTGCAATATACCAATTATTGTATGAATCATCATAATATCGTATCATAAGCAGTGTATCATGCAGTGTATCGAATCATGAGACCCTGTGATTCCACACCCTAATTGCAGGCAGCCAGGTTTGTGGACTTTATTGTATTAAGCAGCAGAAGATGGAATAAGTAATTGGATTACAATTTATTATTTTCTATTTCCTGAGTAATGAGTAATGAGTAATGAGTAATGATTTGTGTTGTATTTCCCATTGGTGCGCCAACCTTCAATCTCTAAAGTGCAACAAAGACTCATTCACACTCTCCAAAACTCAAACTGCCTTTAATAGTATATTTAGCTTGTTTTAGTTTATCCTTAACTTTAAGTGTCTTGGCATTGCTGTCCTCTAAAGGTGCATTATTGCTTTGCCTGGAATGTTTCTGAGTATGATATTAAGCCTTTCTATCTTCATGGAGACCAAAATAGACCAAATTACAGGTCAGTGGAGAGGCAACCCTGCTCACAGTCAGAGTGTGTTTTTTCAAGGTATTTTTGAGGACCCGTAGTTCAGCGCAAAATAGATTGATTTAATGCCATACCTTCCATGCAAAAAAACGAGGAGATGGCATATCTTCCACAAGAAAAGTTACACAGAGCACCTTTAAGGGACAAAGGATAAACAGATAATAATCAATACTAAAACCAAAGAGTTTTGAGACTAAACTTTGAACAAGTCTCAATGCTGAAAAACACACAAACACATTTTGTGTAAAAATGGTCTATAAAATTATATGCAGTAATATTAAAGAAACTCCTGTTGTCTTGAAATTTTTTAACTAACCCTAACCCTAACTCTTATTTTTAAGTAACCACAATCTCAACACTTTTCTGTCTACTCTGCCCATCCCTGGCTCAACATTAATCGGGCTTTTACAACATGTTTAAACACTTTGATGGAAAGCCAGGAGATGTTCTTAGCCAACACCCGCATGCAGGGTTGCATCACTGTCGGGGTCAGCCTGGGTAGATTAAGCCACGCCCCTGCAATCTGTCATCTCGGTGGGAGGAACGTGAAGTGTATGTGCATGCCCAGCTCCACCTCACAAGGTCACTTATTGGATTTTTCACACACCCTTGACCCAAACTCATAACAGCGCCTCCAGAAGAAACTTAATTATAACCGCCATATGCTCATTTTATATATTAAAGTTTACATAATACAGTTCATAGTTTATTAATTGTTTTATAGTTACACAAATGTCAAGATTCCATTAAAGGGCTCATATTACGCTTTTTTCTGGTCAATGTTATGATGTTGTTTCCTCATCACAAACATACCCAGAGCATTTTGTTTCATTCACGCATGTTTAACAGACAAACCCAGCATATTTAGACTGAGTTCTTCTCTGTTCTACCCTGTGATGTCATGTATTAATATAGGAAGTAGTCCACTGTGTTTTTAAACTCCATTCACCTTCACTAGAATTATTTGGACAATTTCAGCCATGGAATTGCTAATCTCAACTGAATAAAGATAAAAGGTAGCCGTTAGATTGAAAACTTTTGAGCTTATAGATGTAGACAAACTAATAATAAATGGATACAAAAATATTTGTGCATGAAACAAAACACATCTCCAGGTATTTTGATGAGTTAACAACCTTATAACATGGTTTAAAGGACCATTAATATAATATAATAATATATATGTAATCTAGGACCAAAAAAGAGCACAGTGTAATATTATTGGTGGAAAGTGGCTCTCCATTTGTGTCCATGAGCATGATATAGCTTTTCCTAGAATGTTCCACAGTATAAACAGTAACTTTATTTAATTACCAGT